ACAGAGGACCAGGGCTTCCAGACAGGCCACGAGCTCTTGCCTTTGACTTCGGCATGCAAAGGCTTTGCTCCCCAAGGCATCCTCTGGGCACTGAGGGTGGCATCTGGCAGCTCCCTTCACTGCCCCTCTGACTATCAGCACTAAAGCCTCCCACCCCTGGTCCCAGCCCCTCCTGGCCAGAGCAGGGAGACCATCAGGCGGCTCAGACCCGCTCACGGGATGGGGCTCTGGAATGCTGCAGGATGCCCAGTGCTCGTTCTGCCTGGTCTCTCCCCAACCTCCCCACGTCCAGCACCAGGTCATTGACCCTTCACAGGCCTCTGGGACCCTCCTCAGTTCCCCGCTACAGAGGGTCAAGGAGGGAACTCTGTAGGACTATGGGACCAGGGTCAGCCTCTTGTGTGCGACTTGAATGAGTGGTGCCGAACCCTTGGGTTGCTCTTTTAAAGAAAAGTGAGCACCCTGTACACTCCACAGCCAAGTCTTGCCCAGGTTATGAAGAAAGCAAACTACCTTAATCGGGGCCCTATTTGTACTGGACACAGCTGGGACTCATGGTCTCAACTGGCCATCTGCCTGGCCTCAAGGTCTGGTGTCCATCCTTAGGAGCTGGAGGTGGCAGGATGGGGAGCTTTGGAGCCATGATTAAGAGGAAGCCCTCCCTCATGGGTGTTCATCCTCTTTTTCACAGCAATCAACCCACAGAGATAGAACATTACAGATGTCTACTGTGCAGACTTTCATGCCAAAGTCACCTGGCCTCTCATCTCAGTTCCTGCACTTATTGGCCCTGAGCCATGTTGCTTAACATCTTTTGGACTCAATTTCCTCATGTATAAAGTGAAAATAAATAAGACCTACTTCCTAAAGACCAAATACATTAATACTAAATTAATAAGTAAGATGCTATATTGTAGGCACTCGAAAAATGGTAGCATAGCGCTTAAAGGGAAGGGTTCTTGAATCTGCATTGATCATTCTACAATTTGGAGGGCTCAAGAAGCAGGTTGGGCCAGACCTGCAGGGGATGCTGCCAAGAGTCCTGGGGTGCCTGTCCAATCCTGAACAGTTCTCTTGTTCTTCAGCAAGAGAAAATCAAGGTGCAAGCCTGATGTGTGCTGAACCAAGGTGTGAAATGAAAGACATTACTTAATCAAGCAAGTCAGCACAGCACCTGGAGATGTCAAATGTAATCAGAGAAAAAGACAGCTCAAAAGTGACATAGTCCCTTTCTACATGTGACTGACATGTAAGGTGAAAACCTGAAAACCTGGGACCACACTTGTCATCCACAATCCAGATTCGGCATCGCTCTATATCACAATGGGAATGACTCACTCCCCGGGGGACCTCTGGCAATGTCTGAAGACATTTTTAGTTGTCTTTAGGGAATACTATTAGCATTTAGTAGGTGGAGGCCAGGAATGCTACTAAACATCCTACAATGCACAAGACAGCTCCCACAACAAAGAATTATTCAGCCCTAAATAGCACAAGTGCCACGGTTGAAAAATCCTGCTCTACACTGAGGTCAGTGAGCTGAGTGTGGTGAGCAGTGTCCACCCTTCTGTGTGTGTCTACTTTGTAGACAATAAATTGGAGACTTACGTTCAGCAACTTGCCTGAGATGGCACAACCAGAAAAAGGTACTAACTATCAGTTCTGAACCCTGTCTCAGGCCCAAATCTCATGCTCTTTCCGCTACGTCACAGACTACCGGGATGGGAATCAGAACAGGAGAGAGCACAGATAAAGGAATATTTTAAAAGAAGACTTGACAGGACTTGGCCACCAAATGTGATCTAGAAAATATGGGAAAAGGGAAAGTCTGGCACTTAGAAAAGCAGAGACAGAGGCAGGAAGAGGAGCAGGTCGACCACAGGTCGGTCAGGTCTGAGATACCTCTAGCAAGGGGCTAGGAATACAAGACGGTATGTAGAGAAAACCAGGGGCTACAGATGTAGAGCTGGGGGTCATTCTCAGAGCTGTGGAGGGTGGGGACAAGACAGACAGATGACCTCTGGGTTTGGTAATTTCGTCAACAGTGACAGTGTTGGGGGCAACTTCGGCAGCAGGTGGGGGTGAGGGCAGGCTGCCAGTCTGGAAGCAAAGGAAGCATGGATGCTGGAGCTTGTGGACAGAGGCTGGGCTCAGCTGTCCATGTCTTGGCCACCCCACCCCCAGCCCCTGGTCCCTAGGTTTCTGCTCTCTCTGGGGCTCTGCTGTTTCCTGGGTGGACTGATTTCTGGCAGCCCTAGTAACAGCCTGCCCTTCATACCGTATCTACTTTGTCTCAGGAGCATGAAAGGGCTGCAAGCCTTCTTATTCTCTGAAAAATCCAGCCCACCCGTGGCTGGGAAAAGGAGGCAGACGAGGGAGCCTTCGTGCAGGCAAGGGCCTGCCAACAAGACCTGCTTTCAGGGCTGCCTTCTGGGATTTATATTCCCGTGGGTTCTCCAGTGGGAAGAGCAAGGCGCTCACGGAAATGAGGAAGGTCATTATCTTCTCAGGGGCCCCCAGGGCTAGGCTGGGGTACAGGGCCCTGTGGTTGTTAGATGGCAGCTCCTGGATTTTGATTCTAAATTTTCACAGGAAATCATGAAAATGAGGTGGGTACAGGGGCTTGGCTCAGATCACACATTTCAAACATGCAAATCCTCCATCCTCTCTTCCCTGCAGGCCCACAGGCCCTCCTGAAGAATAAGCAGCAAGTCCTGGAAGTTTAAAGAACTATAAAGAGGATCTCTCTCTGACCTTAAATATTTGGGGTGGGGGTGGGGGGGTGGAACCAAAATTGGCCACTTTGTTATGAAAATTGGTCAAGTAATTTATCTTAATTACCATGTAATTGCTTTTAGAGTTTTGAAAGGATGCGATGGTTAAATGGCCCAGAAAGAATATTTAAGGCTTTAAAATGTGATTGCTTCCTGCACACTCATGGTGCTGCAAGGAGACTGGAATGGCCCGTACGAGAAGTTAAGGACCATCATCTGCCGGAGAGTCTCCTAGGATCTTCGTGGTTGGATGCTGGGCTTTGGGGAAGGTCTTCCAAATATTCTCGTACCCATTCCTGTGTCACACACCCCCTGCTCATTCCTTCAGCAAATAGTTACAGTATCTTCTAAGTGCTGGGACCTAGGTGAAGGTACCATGCAGACCACAGGGATGAGTAAGACTTGATTCACTGGTCATGTGGTGGAGAAAGAGAGTTCAGAAGTTAGACCTGTGTGTAAATCCCAGCCCTGCCACTGACTAGCTGAGACATGGGGCAAAGTTACTTTAATTCTATGAACCTCAGTTTCTTTGGTATGAAACAGTATACTAGTAGTCAACTTTTAGGGTTTGTTGTGGGCTAAAATGTATTCCCCCCAATTCAGTCGTAACCCCCAGCACCTCAGTAGGGCCTCAGAAGAGATATTTAAGTTAAAATGCGGCCCTGAGACGGTGTGACTGGTGTCTCTATAAGAGGTTAGGACACACCGACACCAGGCAGGTGAACACACAGAAAATGCTATGTGAGGGCAACCATCTGCAAGCCAAGGAAAGAGGCCTCAGAAGAAACCAAACCTGCCAATGCCTTGATCTTGGACTTCTAGCTTCCAAACCTGTGAGAAACACATTTCTGTTGCGTGAGTTGCCCAGCCTGTGGTATTTTGTCATGGAGGCCTGAGCAAACCGAGACAGGGCTCTTGTGCATACTAAATAAAGTAACATCTGTAAAACAGCAAATACGGGGGGAGATCATAGAGGCTGTTGTTACCATAGATTCCTGCTCTGAAGGTCCTTAAAACCTGGTAGAAAAGACCAGAGTAAACAACAAATGACAAATTGTGCTCGTCTCCTGTGCTGAAGTGCACTGGGAGGTTTGGAGAGGACAATCCTGGCTCATGGGCAGAGAGGGACATGGGGAGGGGGCTTCTGCTTGGGCGGAGACGGAGGCAGCGGATCTGGCATCAGTGATCACACCGTTTGCTCACGTTTCTCTGCACTGGGTCATGTGCCAGTTAACACCAGCATAAGGGGATTTTTCCCACCTGGCTTCCATTCCAGCCACTCTAAGCAGACACAAAGTCCAGTTCTGCACACGTGGATCATCACTATGGCAGGTCTCTTCCTTGGCTGCCCAAACTGGGCTGCAAGCCACAGAGACAACCTCAGAAGTGATCAGGGCTGTGTGTGTACCCCAAATCAAATGCATTTTGGTTTATCTGTGGCCAGTCCTAGGCTGTTGCTGACCACCAAGCTCATCTGGAAATGTCCACACCATTGTGAATACAGAGGTAGGAACCACTGCCTTACAGAGAAAAACACATGTTTGCTTTGTTCCTGGCCACTCCCGGGAATTCCATGAATGTATATAAGTATAAATACATAACAACTTGAGCAATTCCAAAAATAGAGAAAGATTTTAAAAATCATTTACTGAGGTCCTATTTACAAACCAAATTTAGAAGACCAACATTTACTTGGGCTCTTAATTTGAAATGTTGATTATCACACCAAAAAATAACATTTGTGTCTCTTAATCTACAGGGAGTGTGTGCAAAATATTTGTGAATTTTATTGCATTTCAGAGGCCAATAAAGGCTTTAGTGAAGAATTTTACACTTAGAGCAAAGTCTGATTACAAACATTCTTTAAGTGGATGCAAATGAATAGATGTGCCAACTGACATTCTCAGCAATGGGCATTAGCTTATATTTAAACTTACGGATCTCTAAGTCTCAACCTGAGGCAACTGAGCCCTATGACCTCCACCATCCTGACTCTGAGTCCCCATTTAAATGAGTAAAATTCCCAGCCTCCTCACGGAAGACCCCAGGTGCCTCTGCATAGCCCTGCCCAGAGAGACCCACGACGAGCTCCTGACATATCCAGCCCAGCACCACAAGGGGCTCACGTGGCCGCTAAGATGCCGGCAAGTCTCCCACGGGACACCGCCCAAGGCTCTGCTCTCTCACACACCCACTCCTCCACCAGACCTTCGGATTACTACTCACAGCACACAAAGGTCCCTCTGGGTGAGGTCCCACAGCTGTTTGCCCAGCCTGGGAGCCAGGAAGCCAGCGTTTGAGATTTTGTTCCAGTTCTGCTTCTCTCTGGCTCTGTAAGTTAAAACAAGTCACTGCTGGTAAGTGGTTTCCAAGGTCCCTTCAAACTAACAATCTATGAAGACGAATTCTCCTTGCAAAGAGTCATGTGCCTCCCTGAAGACCTTTTCCTACCTAAACTTGTGAGGATGCCTGCGACGATGCTTCAGGTGAGGCGGCTTTAAAAGATGGCTGCACAATAACCCTCATCTCAAGCTCTTCTGAAATGTCACCTTGTACTCCTCGTCCCTCACTGAAGCGGGGCTTGATTTCCCCTCACCTTGAATCTGGGAGGGCCTGTCACTGCTCTGATCAATATGTAGTGGCAGAAGTAACACTGTGACAGTTTTAGGTATAGGCCTGAACTGACCTAGAAGTTGTCATTTCCTGCTTGTCAGAACTCTGAGCCACAACATAAAAAACCAGGCTATAGCTTCTCTGTCCAACTTCTCTTCTGGACAGAGAAGCCACGTGGAGGAGCCACACTTAGGCACCACCTCAGACGTGGGCCACTTGAGCTTTCAGTGATTCCAGCTCCAGTCACCATGTGATTAAAATTAGATGAGAGACCCTAATCAAGAACCACCCAGCTGACCAGTCAACCCACAAAATCAATAAAGATAATATTAAATTGTGGTTTTAAGCCTCCGCATTTTTTGTGGGGTAAAATATAAAGATAAAATTTACCCTTTTAACCATTTTTAAGTGTACGGTTTTGCGGCATTAAGTACATTCACATTGCTGTGCAACCCTCCCCACCATCCATCTCCAGAATTCTTTCATCTTCCCACACTGCAACTCGGTATCCATTAAACCCTAACTCCCCTAACGCCCCCTTCCCTCAGCCCCCCGAAATCACCACTCTACTCTGTTTCTATGAATCTGACTACTCTAAGTACTTCATGTAAGTGGAATCATTCAATATTTGTCCTTTATATGATTGGCCTACTTCCCTTAGCATACTGTCACCAAGGATCACCCATGTTGAAGCATGTGCCAGAATATCCTTCCGTTTTAAGACTGAAAAATATTCCACTGCGCGTATACATCACATTCTGTTTACCTGTTCGCCCATCAGTGAAAACCTCTATGTTTGGAGTGGTTGTTCCATAGCAATAGATAATTGGGGCAGTGGCAATGCAGAGCAAGGCTCCCAGAGCAGACACCGGGACCCGGTGAGTGGCAGAAATGCAGAGCACCAGGGCACGAACTCCCACAGTAGGTGACTGGCCAGGAATCTAGGTTGGAGTTCCAACAGCACTGTCACAGCATGATAGGTGTCTCCTGGGGCCTCCATTCTAGGCAGGGAGCAGCCCCACAGCAGGGACTGGCAGGATCTTGTTCATGCCTGGGTGCCCTGCCCTGGCACAAGCCAACAGGCCCAAAAAATGTTTGATGAATAGGTGAAAAATATACCTGACGCTGAAGCCAGGTTCTGACTCATCCCAGAGCTTCTTATAGGCACCCTGTAGGGCAAGAACTGTGCCAAGAAAAGCATAAGGGAGCAGCTGCTTCTGCCTAGAAAGGGGGAGGCGGCAGCAGCAGGGCATTCTGGCAGGGAAAAATCACAGCCGAGCCCAGGATCTCCATCAAGCACCTACCCTGACCTAGGCAGCTCAGCAGGGGCTTCATCTGGAAATGAGGAGGCCTGATTAAGAAGGATATGCCGAGCATCAGGCTGAGCCAACAGGATGAGGCCTCTCCAGGATCAGCCTTGCTCAGCTTGTTGGGCCCAACGTTCAGGGCTCAGGGTGGCAGAGTCTCAGGTGCCCATTACAGGGACAGGGGCAGGACTTACAGGGGCTCAGCCATTGGCCATAATTAATATAGGCCATGGGGCATAATAAAGGGGACTTGAGCTGTGAGCTGAGTCACATATTTGAACCCTGGGAGCTTTGGGACAGCAACCTTCCTTCATTGCCGGAGGCCCCAAGTTGGCTGCATTATGACCCCAGCTCTCTCATCCATAACCCCTTTACCAAGGAAACCCAGCCCATCACATAACTAGGGTGCCCGGCACAGGTCAGGATGCACAAGAGCACAGACATTAATTCCAAATCTAAGAAGAGGGCTTGCTCCTGGCTGACTTAAAGAGTGACTGCCAACCATACAAATGCCCACTTGGGCGCTTAGCAAAAAGGGCTCAAGTTGTGTTTCAACTCTGTATTTAGGTTTTCCAGTCTCTAAAGATAAAGTGAAACCTTGAGTAACAACTCGAAAGGTGTTTTCCTCTATTTCTCTTCAAAGCAGGAACCGCTTGTCATGTGGAAAGCAGTTAGAAGCACCAGTAAAAAGAACTCAGAAAACATGGATTTTGTACTTGGCTCAGCTTCGAAGTAACTATGGCACTTTGAGCAAACCCATTACCCTCTGTAGGCCTCAGTTTCTTAATCCATAAATGGAGGAAAATACCCTGTATTTCCACTGGTTATGTACATTAGTAAGAATAAATATATGTGAGATGATATAGAGATATATACACACACATATGAGGTCTTCATAACAAAAACTATAAATAAGTTAGAGATTTATTTATGGTCAGTAGGCGTTTGTTGATATTTGCTGAATAAATGGCCGAATAACCCAAGATTATAATAAGACTCACATTTGGGGATAGCAGGTCCCCCTCCACATTTCTGAATCCCTAGCTTGTGTACCTACCAGAACTTAGAAGGCCACTTCTCTCTCTAGGAGGCCAAGCTCAGCATGCCCATGTCTTAACAACCAACTCACCAAGCCTGTACACTTCTCTCCCATCTGGCCTTATACTCTCCCAACCTCGGGAGCCGGCCCCCACTGTCCCTGCCCCAGCCCCGGGCCCAGCTCCCACCTTCAAACATGGCAAGAGACTATTTCTTGAGCAAACTGCTAAATCTAGAATCCTGGGTCTTGCCTTTGACATCAGATGGAAATAACTCATTCCTTTTTCCTGGTTTTCCTGAAGCATGACCCACAAGGAAGATTGTAGACCAAGTGCTAGCTTTTTTGCATAGGGCCTCCTCCCCACCAACTCAGATCTGGACCCCACCTGTGACCTTCGCCTGCAAAATTAGGCTCACATGGGCTGTTCCACCTCAAAGGGCTCTGGGGAGCACCGTATAAAGAGATAGATTCAAAAGTTTCTTCGAAAAATAGGAAGCACTTTATAAATTCTTTTGCTCTCGTCACTCTTGTTAGTTTACTTCAGTGTGGGCTGAGACTATGACTCTCTAGAGGCCTGGGATTGGCCCTTGGTGAATTATTTTGGTACAATGGCCACACATACAGAGAAAAGCTTACTGTTCTTTGTGACTCCAGTGCTACAAGTAAACGTGGTGTGATCTCCAGGACAAGGGACAGGGGGTGGTGGGGAGAGTCAGAAAACTGGGTTCCGGAGTCCTTTGCTCTGCCAGTATATTAAGTGCATCACTTAACCTTTCTGGCCATTTTTCTTCATATGCACAATGAGCTGACAAGCCGCCCACATTCCTATTCACCCGGATACCAGGAAGGCAAAGAATTTGAAGAGAAAAACACTGAAGAGAAAAAACAAGTAGAAGTGTTGTATTATTCAGTGGGCATGGAGAGTTGAGAAGAGATGAACAAGAAAAATAAAAGCGGGAAAAAAAAGAGCGAGAAAGCATTTGGGGTGAAACGTGAGGCTCTTGAGAAGACAAGGACGGAATGCCATGAAACTGTCCCCCAAGTACAGAAAGTGTTCCCCAAGCCTCAGAGTCACTGTCTAGATTAGATTTACCACAAAGAGATCTGAAATTCAACTCTAGCCAAGAAAATGAAGTCTATCCATCACCTGAGGCGGCATGAGCACATACCAGAGGAAGCCGAGACACACTGTTCTTTGCTTTTATAGAGCAATTCATATTGAGATGATAAATGAGTAATTAATAGATCCACTACCTATAAAAAGTGTTTAACATCCCTAGAGAGGCCCTGGTCACGCCACATCCTGGCCCATGAGGTCTAATCCAGGGTTCTTCGCTTTAAGGGGGGCATTTAAAGACTAAAAAGTTCCAAAAGGCTGATCCCCAGGACAGTAGGGTGTGCTGAGATCACATCACAAAAGGAAGGGCTATGAAATCTGAAAGCATTAACCTAAATAGGATTTGGGGAGGACATGAGAAGCAAAGGCTCTCCTAGAAGCAGAAAAAAACTTTAAACATTTAGTGCAACCTGCACAAGTGAGCCCTGATCAATCTCTGGTGAGGAATTATCAGCTGTGCATAAACACTTCCAGGAGTGGAGACCTCAGTACTTTATAAGCAACTTCATCTCATTATCATTTGGACAGAATTAAACTCTTCTCCCTCCTATTAACCACAAATTAACTTCCTCCTGGCTTCCATCTGTATTACAGGGGGATGCAGACTAAGTTTAAACACCTCTTCACCTACCCATCCTTCAGACAACAGAAGCTGGTCTTGATGACGTGCACTGGGTCTTCCCAAAGACTCTCCTGAGAGGTCACTTCTCAGCATACCCCTGAAAGCACACTGTCCAGCTCCCTTCCAGCTTTGACCTCAGACTGCCGTGGGACACTGACTACCTGGCTCACAGCATGGGCTCACCTTGCCCATGCCACCCAGCCTGCTTTTGCTTTCCAACTAGGTTTTGGCCTTCTGCCGCAGTTTGAGCAAACTCTGGTCCATCTCTTGGTCTCAGCTTTGCTGTTCTGCCCAGTGCTGGAGGGCTTGTCATAAATATGCTCCATGATGAAGGCAAAAAATGAATCTCAAATTCATGCCACTAACGACAGCTGGAAATCAGCTGGTCGTTTGACTTCGGGCCTTCTACTAAAGACTGAATCTAAAATGTTCGATAGACATTAAATATATTTCTAACATCTCATTTGACAGATGAGGAAACCGAGGTCCAAAGAAATAAAATGATTCACTCAGGAAACAGAGCCAAGAAAATGAACATGAACACTATCTTTGATTTTTCCAGCCCACATTCTACTGTAGTTAAGTGGAAGCGAGGCCACATTGTAGCTCTCTTCTTAGGACATTTTGGAGTAA